GGGCCCCTGCCTCTACAGCAAACCTAAGGTTTTAATCCAAAGACATGCTGGTAGGTGAATTGGCTCCTGTCTAAATTGGCCCTAATATGTGTATATATGGATGTGAGTTAGGGACCTTCGATTGTACACCCCCTCGAGGGTTAGGGACTGATGTGAATGTACAATATATATGAGTAAAGTGCTGCGCAAATTGATGGCGCTATACAAGTACCTGGAATAAATAGGTGTTTTCTGTACAAACCATTATCTGAGCTCTCCAAGCAGAAGCTGAATCCTGTAGTTGCATGGTAAAAGTTTAAATTAGCTATGGAATCAGAGAAGAAGCACTCACACTACATCCACTTGTGATATCTGAAATATGCCTCATTAGCAATTTATATGTATTTTATGTTCATTGAGATTGTCAGGTGGGATGTCAATTAGTAGAAAATGGAGCTTCCAGAAGGCACCCTATATTAAACATTGCATGACATCCTGAGGCTCAATGCATACGGGCATTTAGCCACACTGCAAATCCCAGTGGCAAAAATCTACTGCATGCAGATAGCAGCAGCGGCTGACACTGTACAGTGCAATGATGAGCTATCAATGGCTGCCATTACTTGTGCCTGTTCACACAGCCAGGTATTAACTGCGGTGATCGGCGCTGGACCCAAGTGCAGGTAATCTCTGCCTGTACAGTTAGGAATGGCTGCGGCTGTCAAAAGCATGTCATTGCAGTGTGCGGGCTTGGTGGCTTAAGCGATCCACACACAGCTGTCAATCCTAACCACAGGAATCAGTGGATGTGTGGCTAAATGTCTGTGTGAATGGAGCCTAAAGCTGACCCCTAACCACACCCAGAATTCAATGCACTCACCTCTCCTAAGATTAAGCAGACAGGCTGAAAGGTTAAAAAAAAATAACTTTGAATTGCAGGATGAGGGTGGGAATGCATTGCAGTGCTTTAGACAGGTACATTGAGGGGCTTACGATCAAGAAAGCTAAAGGAGGGTTAGAATCCCGCTCATGTTTTATATCTTCCTTTGTCACCCATTTTCTCCTAGCATGGCGACAGAAATCCCAGCTTTTACAGCTAGCACCAGCACAGATTTTCCAGTGACAACTGTCGTGGGATTTGCTTTCACTTTCCGCTCCAGCAAACTTTGTCAAGACATAAAATGTAAGGAAATCTCTTCAACAGGAAAAAGAAAACTAAAACTGCACACCAAATATTGAAATATGTAGGGGTGCTGCGACTGACAGAATGGATGGTGCTAGTCCAAATGAACTGGCTTGGAATCCTACTAGGTCTCAAAATGTCTACATTTGAGGACAATTTTCTTATGACATCTCTTTTGTCTAATGGGATGGAACCAAATTGAGATCCTAAGGAATCACAGGATACTGAATTAGAGGTATGACCCATTAAACACCTTAAATAAAGGTTTTAACAAATGGAATTGAAGCCAAAAGGTTTCTGAAAGAGTGCACAAGGTCCAAATCTGTCCCCTAAGAGTACCTAAGAGGCAGTTGTTGGTCTTGTACTACTGATTTCAGGAAGGCCATAATGCGAGGTACCAAGCACTCTCTGGGGTTCAAATGCCTGTGTTCACACCAGATGAATAGGATTTCCAGGTACACAATTTAATAGTAAAGGTCAAAGAGGCATGGCTTTAACTCCTGCTGCCTATGGCCCTGGTAAGCCCATGGAATCTGACATTGTGGCAGAAAATTCCTCAGTGGCAGACAGGACAGAGCGGGGGGCAACCATCAAGGTACTAGGACTCCGGATGGATAAACTATCAACCCCGGGGACACTTCCTCCTCATTGGCTGAGACAGCAGCAGGAGCCATTGGCTCCCATTACTGACAATCACACCCAGTGAGCCAAAGAGGAGAGAGCAAATGTGTGAATGGACACACAGAGCAGTGGCTTGAGAGCACCCATAGCAAGCTGCTTGCTATGAAGCACTCAGCAGGAGGGAGGAGCACTGGTGGAGGACCTGAAAAGAGGGGGATTGAGGCTGATCTGTGCAAAATCACTGCACAGAGCAGGTAAATATAGACAGGTTTGTTATTTAAAAAAAAAAAAAAAAAATCTGCCTTTAATATCACTTAAAACTACTATGCCTCTAGATCATGTTTTTTTCATTTTTTGCATACACTTGTAGAAATCTGCATTTTTGGCCATAAAATTAATTAAAACCCCCAGAACATTATATATTTCATGAAAGCAGAGGGCCTGTAGAACAAAAAAATTAGTACGTAGCTGCAATATTTCATGTTGCATATTTGCATAACTTTCAATTCAATCACCTGGAAGGAAGCTGCATATAACCGAGTCATACCAATAAAAAGCCTGTGTCATATACTGTACAGGAAAATCTTTAGAACTTTAAAGTGTCACTAAAATAAATAAATCCCTTTATTTATAATAAATAAGTTACTGCTGCAGTGGCCAACAGTGTCAAGGATGTGCAGGCTCACAAGAGCCTTTGCACCCTTTCCAGCACACTGCGCATGCTCCCCTCCTACAATGTAATTAGGCAATATCTACACAGGTCTTGCTATGAAGGAAATCCCTTAGCTGGTTACTATGACCCAAGCTGCGGGCAGGGCCAAGGCGGAGTGGGTCCTCAGCTTTTTCAGGCCCTCCCTCCAGGCCACACAAAATGGAATGGAGCCGTCAGTCAAGAATCTGATCCTCCCAAAGGGATTGGTGAATAGATCAGTTCTGCTTTGCACAATCTTTTCCTTAGGCGGTCACCATTCTCAGCACAGGGCAGCACACAGGCTTACAGCACTCCACTGTGATAGGAACCGGTTCTGTGATCATTCCGCTCCAGCTCAATTGAGAATGCTCTGTGATGCGAGCTGGATGATCAAATGCCGTTCTGACTCACTGGTCGCTGTTAAAATGATTGCAAAGCTCAGACATGAAATATGAACAAAAGCATATCCCTCTATACTGTGTACTTGCTTCTATGCAAAGCACTGAGTGTTATTTCGCTCACACGTTCACTTCCGAAAGGTTTTTCGACACGAATAAAAAGGTGATGGGAGAGAGCTCCAGAACACAGCCTGTGACTGATATCCCTAGCTCTGCATATTCTCTGTGTATTGTGTGAAGGGGGATGTCTCTCTTCCCTCCAATCAGGGCTCAGAACTGTCCTCACCGAGATCTGCACTGTGAGACTTTAGATCCACGTGTCCTTGCTTTTAGGAGCAAAGATCCTGTGTAAATTCTGAGGTTTGAATGGCTCTAGAGAACAGGTTGGGACAGATAAAAGTTACAACTTAAGTAGGTGGATTGTTTTAATTTCTGTGAATCATCTGATGCTAGTCACTTCATTGGGTATATATGTGTTTGCAACTGCTTTAAATTGTAACAGCGGCCAGTGAGCCAGCTCCCATTCTCAGCTGAGCCGCAGATCAGGACACAAGATTCTGATCACAGCGGGTGCTGTACCAGCCTGCATGCTGCTCTGTGCTGAGAACAGTGACAGCCTACGAAAGATTGTGCAAAGTAGAGGGGAGCTGTAAGTAAAGGAAAGGATATGATTTCTGGCTCAGACCCGCCCCCCACACACACACACTACATTCATAAATCATTAGATGTGGGAGGCACTATCAGAGCTTAGAACCACTTTCAAGGAGAGTACTGAATACTTAAGTTTGTCTAATGCCAATCTATCCAATAGGAAAACGGCAATAAAAGCCTATCAAAGGTTGTACCTTTTCTTCAAATCTGGAAAAAACTGGCTAAAACATGTTTTTGTATACTTTTAACTAAATGGTGACATTCCAGTTGCAGCTAAATAGGGTTTTTCAGCTACCACTAGAGGATCACAAGTTTTTTTTTTTTTTTAAATAGTATGACTTTTAACCTTTATATGTGGTCTTTCAGCAGATGGACTTTAACGCCGAATAGCCACATATATGCAGTCCTATGTAAACACCTTACTGTATTGAAAGTGCGCTTCCAACACAGAAACAAAGGTGTATCCGGAAAGTGCTGATGCACACATGCAACCAGGAAGCTTTCCAATTGTGTGACTGCTGGGACAGTATTTAGGTTTCCTTAAATGATCGAGAAGGGGTCAAGTATATCAAGATGATCAAATTTCCATCTATGGTTGTTCAAAATAAAAAAAAAAAAAAAAAAAACACAGTATAAAAAATCCATTTTCCTATGTTAATACTCATGATGGAGATGTAAACTTGAAGGTGTTACACTTCAATAGACATGGTAGATCATTGTATTTCAGTAGAGCTGTAGGCAAAACCTTTTTTCTTCATTTTAGGATAAAGTAAACAAGGATGTAAATTGTTTTGCGATCTGTGTTGCTTTCGGGAGATTTTGCTTCAATTCCTGTCCTATAGCCAAAACAGAAAGTGAGAGGAAATCCCTGATAATTGAAGGAATCCCTTGAGGCCCCCCAGATCACAGAAATAGTGTCCCTATTGAACTTCCCCTCTATTACTTTTCAAGGGATAACCCAAAATTTGGGGATTTTCTTTTACTTTCAATGAGAATAGTAAACAGGACAATTAGAGAGAGGGCGAATCTCAGGGGGCACACAAAGCAATAAAAAACTGACAGGTATTCTAAATCAAAAAGATTTTGTGTTTAGCTATACTTTACATTCAAAGATCTATTAAAACTACAGCACACATTGAGCTCCTGCTTTTCCATTATGCTCAGGAAACCTTTGAAAGGAATTGAAAGGAATTAAAACGGTTATCTTTCAGCACACATTTATTAAATAAAAGTTTATTTGACATATTTCCCCAAAACAACAAAAAGGCAACTTCACATCTGTATAAAAAAAACACTTCTGTAACAACCTTTTGTGTAAATGGAGGTGAGAAATAGACTACCAAAATATTGGAAATCCTGTTTGGATGTGCTAGCTTGTCTGGGAGATCTCAGTGACATAAATAAACAGTCTTGTCCATGGCTCTCAAGGAAAGGTTGTAGTTCAACAGAAACCAATGCAGTTTGTGTTCTGTTCTTCTTACTCCACAGTGTTTGAACCAGTGTCTGAAAATGAAATCAAAGGGTCACTGGTTAAATTTAGTTCTCCAACCCGTAATAGACAGCAGGTAGAACTGCAATGTTCTCAAATTGTACACTTAAAGCTTAACTCTGGAAAAATGGAGAGTTACAGTTAGGTCCATACATATTTGAACACAGGCACAATTTTAGATTTTTTTCAGGTATTTACCAAAACATATTCAAGCTATAGTTATATAATGGATATTGGTTGAATGTGAGGGTATGTAAATCCAAATTGGAGGAAGGGTTTACTCTTAACAGTAGCCATCACCCCTTTAAAAAGGGACCAAAAGTAATTGGACAATTGAATAAATAAAATGTTCATTCTTAATATTTTGTTGAGAATCCTTTACTGGCAATGACTGCCTGAAGTCTGGAACCCATGGACATTACCAAAGACTGTGTTTCCTCCTGGTGCTTTGCCGGGTTCCAACTGCAGCTGTCTTCAGTTGTGGGTCTTTCTGCCTTTAGTTTTGCCTTCAGCAAGTGAAATGCATGCTCAGTTGGGTTGAGATCAAGTGATTGACTTGGCCATTGCAGAATATTCCATTTTTTCTTCAAAAGCTCCTGGCTTGCTTTTGCAGTGTGTTTTGGATCATATCCATCTGTACTGTGAAGCGCCGTCCAATCAATGTTGCTGCATTTGGCTGAATCTGGCCTGACAGTATATCTCTAAACACTGCAGAATTCATCCGGCTGCTTCTGTCTTTTGTCACATCAATAAACACCAATGACTCAGTTCCACTGGAAGCCATGCATGCCCATGCCATCACACTGCCTCCACCATGTTTTACAGATGACGTTGTGTGCTTCGGATCATGAGCTGTTCCAAGCCTCCTCTGCACTTTTTTCTTCCCGTCATTCTGGTACAGATTAATCTTAGTTTCATCCATCCAAAGAATGCTTTTCCAGAACTGGTTTGGCTCTTTTAGATTTTTTTTTTTGGCAAAGTATAATCTTGCTTTTCTGTTCTTCAGGCTTATGAATGGTTTGCACCTTGTGGTGAGCCCTCTGTATTTGCTCTCATGAAGTCTTCTCTTGATTGTAGACTTTGACAATGATACGCCCACCTTCTGTAGAGTGTCCTTCACTTGTCTGGATGTTGTGAATGGGTTTTCTTTACCATAGAGAGGATCCTGCGATCATCCACCACTATTGTCTTCCATAGACGTCTATGCCTTTTTATGTTGCTAAGCTCACCAGTGCGTTCTTCTTTCCTCAGAATGTACCAAACTGTTGATTTGCCACTCTTAATTTTGCTGTTCTCTGACGGATTTGTTTATTTTTTGAAGCCTTACAATGGCTTGTTTCACTTGCATGGGCAGCTCCTTTGAACGCATGATGTAGGCTTTCAGCAATAGATTGCAAATGCAAATACTACACTTCGAATCAACTTTAGACCTTTTATCTGCTTAATTGAAGAACTAAGGAGTAGCCCACACCTGGCCATGAAACAGCTTTTGATTCAATTGTCCAATTACTTTTGGTCCCATGAAAAAGGGGGGATGGCTACGGTTAAGAGCTGTAATGCCTAAACCCTTCCTCCAATTTAGATGTACTCATCCTCCAAATTAAACTTGAGTGTGCGCACTCTCAGCCCATATCCATTATATAACTATAGCTTGAATATGTTTTGGTAAATACCTGAGAAAAACTAAAAAATTGTGCCTGTGTCCAAGTATGTATGGACCTAACTGTATATTTTGCAGTGGGGCTGTGCCTGCGCTGCAAGGGTTAATTGCTTGTTTTGTCTACAGGGGAGGAGGAACACTTACATTTGATACACACTATTAGTTTTGCTTTTTTCATTCAACCAGGGTGCTGAATGAAAAAATACGTAAGATTCCTGCATCCACACAAGCAATGTAGGTGGAGAAACCTTCCCCCACTGTGCTACAGTAATAGGTCCATCTAACAATTGGCTTCTGTCGAAAAAGGGAGGCCACACAGATCGAAATTTGGCTGGTTCCTGCTGAACTGGCTGAATTTCAATACGTGTGTACCCGGGTTTACTTGCCTGATTCTCCACTCCCCTGACAGATGGCGCTCACCCACACTGTGGTGGTAGATTGTCCACTGGGGTCAACACATCCAGTGCAGGGCTATGTATCCTGCATTGGACTTTCTTGACATTCAGACCCTAGACTGCTGAAGAGTGAGGGAGAAGCTGCAGGGACCAGTCTGGCAGTGGGGAGGAGCAAAAGATGAGGTCAGCAAATCTTTTACTGTTCCCTTAGCCCAGGGCTTGAAAAATTTGCTTTAAATCTAGGAGCGAGCTAAAAAAGTTAGCAGTTGTTTTTTTTTATTTTGGCCAACGGCTTTATTTTCAATGACGGAGATGGCAGATCTGGAATTTGCGTATGAAGGGGACTGAGACGGCTTGTTAGGGCTGAGGTATTTGATGTGTGTGTGTGGCATGCTGTGTGGGGTGGACTCTGCTTGCCTCTAGAGCAACGTGTGGGTACTAGCAGGGAGGAGGAGAGGTGGCCACAGTATGCACGGATTGGCTGGTGTCAAGGAAGAGGGGAGTGGGGAAGAGGCTTTCTGCACAGCGGTGGTGGGTCTGCTGCGGGAAGGTGCACGGGGGTTCCAGTTTGTGACGAGGAAGGGAGAAACTTCGGCTCTGCTGCGGTAAGCAGCAGAGCTGTATTTTTTTGTTGTTGGATGTTTGATGTGGATCGGCTGCCTGGCACATGGAGCTTCATGTATGGAGCGTTGGGCAATGGGAGTTGCTCGCGCCTAGTGCTGGCGGTGAGTGGGTTGGTGGAAGCTCAGGTGCCAGGATGTGGTTTCGCTTCTGGTTGCCACGGCGACCTGGGATTTGTCAAGCCCTGCCCCCCCCCATATGCCCTGGGTGTGGTTTTCACCCCCCTTTTTCTATATGCACCCTGCCCCCCTCCCCCATATAAAAATTGTCCTGTCCTCCACCTCTATATACGCCCCAGGTTTGGTCCTCCCCCCTGTATACACCATAGGTCTGGTCCTCGCTGGGCCCCAAAACCCGCCATGCCCATTTTTTCTGCTTTCAATGCATCAACTACATGGGCAACGTGTTAACTTGCTGCCTAATATATCCCACCGACTTTCAGTTGTAACGGGATAATCAGGGTTATTCACTTAACCGGTTTTATTTTCATAAATATATATAAAAATTTTAATCTGGGAGTCTAAAGTGAGTATTCTATTTTTTAATGTTTTAAAATAAGAGCCTCATTTAATAATAAAAAAAAAAAAATTGTGCCATTAAAACAAACTTACTTTTCCCATCACAGGCTACAATTTTTACTTTATCCACCTTCACCAGGTCAGTCACTTCTCTGAACTCGACATCATTTAGAACAAAGGTCCAGACGTTATCACAAAACCGATATGTATTTAATGATCCCTTATTAAAAAGAAAAAGATAAAATTAGTTGTTAGATTTATTTTGCCAAAAGTAAATGGACAGACTTAACTGTGAAAACACAGCAACAAAGAAATGTAGGCATTATGCAGAAAAGCTGTGCTCTCAGCATACAGCATTATTGCATGCCACGTCCACAGCTCTGGCATGAACCAAGACAATGTAATAGCCGCTTATGGTGCAAAATACATTTGGCTATGTAACGCGAAAAATGAAACTTCACCAAGTCTATGGATTATAAAGCAGTCTTCCTTGAGTTATGCAAATAAATCTTTTTACACTTCTACGGTGTTCCACATATCATTAGGGAAACACCAATACATCCTCCTCTTAGTGGCTCATAAAGACAACACTTTGAGCAGGATAAGCCAAGCACAAATAATGTTCACAAACTCAGAAGTGCGCTGCTGCAAATGTAACGCACCTCAAAAACGCAATGCAATTACAAAAGACCGCACATCTGTTATTTGTCCAGCATTTGCAGACTGTTACAAAAAGGACATTTAAAGTATTATTAAATCCCAAACCAAAAATGTAATATATATATTGCAGCTTAAGCAGATGTAGTGGCTGTATTTTTTTTTTTTTTTTAGACTTTTTCTTTCCCCCCCTCTGCTTTCACCTGGTGATCTGGCCAGTAACACGACTACTGTTTATAGACACCAACCACATAGACAGATGGATCAAAATTCAGCCGGTTCAGCAGGAATAGTCTGAATTTCAATCTGTCAATCGACTTCAGTATCACCAGCCTGTCAAGTTTCCTTTGTGCAATCACTGCCAGCGGCTATAGCTACCAGAGTGATCATTGTAATCTGATGGTTGGGAAACCTTCCGTCAACCCTGAATGTGTTGATGGGGGAAAATGAGAAATTTTCCTCCCTTCAACCTGTAGTTGAAGGAAAGAAAACTGTATAATGTATGGCTTGCTTTAGAAGTACAAAGAGGTTAACATACACTAACAAATTGAAGCTGAACTCCATTGAATACTTTATAATCAGTTACAGCAAACTGTTTTTTATTCCTTTTTTCAGGATAAAGGTTTTCATAAATAAAAGCTGACCAGTTTAATTAGTTTTAATACAGACCTTTTCCAACACACTTTTTTCATGTAAAAATAAATCAATATTTTTTCCTAGAAAATGTAGTTAGAACTCCAGAACATTGTATATTTTTTAAAGCAAAAGCCCTAGAAAAAGAAAATCGTTTAGGTCACACGGTATTTGTGCAGCGGCTTTCAAACGTCATTTTTTTTGGAAAAAAAAATACTTTTTTGAATTTTAATTGCAGAAAAACACAATAGAATACCGAATTGTTTGGTGATATAGAAGATTGTTATACCAAGTAAATAGAAACCAAACATGCAAAGCTTTAAAACTGCGCACTCCCATGCAACAGCAAAAAACTACGTAAATTTGATTATACATAGGCGACACTTTAAAAGCTTCTACTTGTTACCACTTTTAGGTGGTCTGGTGCTAGAATCAACATTCACAGCGGTACCTCACGTGTGGTTTGATCGCCATTTAAGCGTGTGGGAACGACATGTGCATTTGCGTGCAAGGGGGGGGGGGGGGGGGGGGGGGGGGTGTTTTGGTTGGGGTACTTAAAAAAAATAAATAAAAAGGAACAGTGCAAAAATAAGAGGAAAAATTGTAATCACTTTTATTGTTATCACAGGGAATATAAAATATCCCGTGACAGCAATAGGCAGACTGCTAGACCCCAGATCTCTCCTCTACCCTTGATCATACCAAGATCAGTGCGATCCGATGCTTTTTTCAAACCACTAAGGGTTTGTTTACAATCAGAGGAACTGGAAGTGATGGCATGCTCAACGCTTCTGGTTTCTTAGACTATAGAGATGATCAGAGCAATCCAGACTCTGATCAGCTCCATGGTCAGCCGGCAGAAACAACAGCTGCACTCTTGGGTTCCCTGATGGGATGGGAGAGCACAAGAGAGCCTTGGAAGGCTGTGGGAGGAATACTCCCTCCCTCCCTCTGTAAAAGCAATTCAGCAGCTAATTAGCTGCTAGGATTGCTTTTACAAGAAAACCAACCGCTGGCTGAAAAAAAAAAATCCAAAAACAACAGCGGGATGATGCCTGCAGCTACAGGCATCATCCCAGTATACCCACTCAAAGTCCAGCTACGTACGTGTACATCACTGGTCTGCAAGTGGTTAGGCACCCCTGTCAGTGTTAAATGGTCCATATCAACCCTGTAACTGCTAGAGAGCTTTTCTGCTGAAAAACAACAGACTTACTATCTGGACAGACATATGAAAATAAAAGAACTGGAATGAAGAATTTTTGAGCCAAGTTAAGCTGTTGCGTATAGCCTCCAAACTGCACAATTTCCCTTGGAAAATTAAACAAGGAATCTACTTTCTGCAAGCAATTTGTTCACCATTCCACCATTTTTATTTGCAGAGTTTTCTTTTGAACAGCACAACCAGCACATCTTTAGACAGGCATTTGCTAATACAACAGAGAATAAATACATATATGGGAATGGCCTTACCTACCAAAAATTCTATTAGGTATCCTGTTCTGCCAGATTTCTAATCCATGCAATCCTGTCACAAACCATAGGCCATGACCACAGACTTTTTTTCTACTGCAGTTAAGGTAAAAGTTTAGTTCAAGACAGTGAAAGAGTAACAGTTCAATGGTGAATTTATATGTGCTTCTCCCCCAGACAGCATGGTTCATCAGTAAGATTTCCCACACTGTCTTGTCGATTTCCAGTGATCATGTTTGTGGATGATTTTGTTCATTTGTTTGTTCATGTCAGGATCCTTTACCTCCCTAGTGGTCTGATTATGTCCATATTTCTGTGCTCAAAGCGGTACATTTTTTTGCATGGAAATATGTTGTTTTATTGTAGGCCTGTAATTCTTAGGAATAACTCACTGAAATCTGTCTGAACAAGAGTCTAGTAAACATCCCGGGTATGATACAATTTGAAACACAAAATCATAAAATTATAATATAATAAATAATCATAAAAAATAATATAAATAATAAATTTACTTCAATAAATGTACTCAAATCAAAAACATTGAAATTTGAAATCGAGCCCCAAGTTCGCACATCACGGAGCTTAGTCGCAAAATCGTTTTCAGCGTGACGACTAATTTCCCCACGAATCATTATCACTCAATTCTGCAAGTAGTTCTAATTTACTATAGGGTAAAATATACAGTAAGCGCTCAACAATAGTGGCAGCTGAACATAAAGGAAAACGCATATAAAGTCCCACAATTCATATATATATAAAAATGCAGCGCTTGAAAAAAAGTGATAATAAAACACAGTCCAGTGAAAAAAGTGCTCCGTGTTTCCTAGTGCAAATGGTAAAAATTTACACTAACCAGACAGCGTAAAAATATACGCATGTATATATGTATCCTGTAGAATCCCCTTCTCCACTCAGATCTGGTCAAATGAATAGCCGGAAAAGGTAGACATCCTACGCCCTCATGTGGTGAAAGAGTGGTCCAGCAGATCAGAGCGATGCCAATCAGAGTAAGCCTCCCCCTTCACAGGAGTCGACAAGGAGATCCCTTGGGGCTGTAAAAGTTGAGGAAGCTCCTCACAGGGGACACAGGGAAGTATTCATAGTGTAGTAGGTAAGGCTTTATTAGAAAAACATAGGTGCACAGTGAACAGGGTATAGGCAGGTATGGATGAACACACTGACCCCTTGGTATTAAAGATGGCCGCCGGGCCATCCTCGTGGCACCGGCGGTTTAGTGTCAACGGCGTCCTAGGTCCCAGCTGACGCGTTTCGTGCGCACGCACTTCAGAGGTGGAACAAGGACCGCCGTGACCGTCTCCTCTAACGTATATACCGTATCTGGCGCATGCGCACTAATGCGGCGCCATCTTGCCGAGGTCCGAGCGTCCGCAATCATCAAGTGCGCATGCGCGGGTGCCATTTTACCATGGGCAAAGATGAATGCAGGCATCTAAACAGCGGCTCCCTACTAGTGGAGTCCGGGCGTCCGTATTGCGCAAACCGCGCATGCGCGGGCGCCATTTTGCCATATGCCAAAAGACAAAATACCCAGCGCTGACAGAGACAATATTAATAATATCGGACGTCATACACGCTGTGATAGAATTAAATGTTAGATGGTATTGTGTGGGAAACCCCCACAGGAGGCATCCAATGTGGAATAATGTTTAGGAGAGGAGAATTTAAACAAATTCCCAAAGAATGTGAACTGGCCGGGACAAGGGCTCATAGGGTTGATAATAAATGAACCGGTGTCCTAAATAGGGGCCAATGGGTCCATAAACCCCATAGAGTGAACCAATTGTTAAAATGTAAATTTTAATCTAATAGGGTGTCGAGCCCTATACATAGGTAATAATCCTATGTATTAGGACAAAGCAACATGGTAAAATGGCATTTTGAAAAATATAAAATACCTGTCACATGGAGGTTCAAGCCCATAATGACGAGGTAAATAAACAGAAAAAAATATAAAATACACGCTTATGTTCAACACCAAAATAAATAAAAGTACTAAGAAAGACATGTGTCATAAGCATGTATCATAAAATGCAAAATACACAAAGGCTGGGGATGGATATAATCCGGTTCTATTAGGCGTCCTTGATGGGTGTGTAGATAATGAGGTTACACTAGTGTAAGGTTACCATACGCATGAAGTTAAAAATAAAATTTAAAATAAAATTTAAATATATAGTAGCTCCCCGTTAACCCAAAGATGTAACCAGCATAGTTTCGTGTGTCAGTGTCATACAATTGACCCTCGTGGGTTCAGCTGTTATCAATATAGCAGTTGACGTCAAGCTCAATATTCAAGCCTGCGGGGTGCAAAGTGTCCAATTCAAAAATATATTTAGTCTCCATCTGTGAGACCGCCCTGGTCTTAAAGGTTCCTCTCCAGTGTGCGGTTACTACATCAATGCCAACGAATCTCAGACTGGAGGGGTCTCTATGGTG